CTCGCCTCAGACTTATCAGAATGTTTGTTATCCATTTGCGATTTAATAGAATGCGATCCACGTTTACCCGCATACTGTGATTTGATGAATCTGTGGGAAGTAATAGTTATTTTTATTATTTTGTTGTTAATACCTAGTAATATCATTATATTGGGTTTATATTATATAATCCAATCTAAGCATGTTTGATAAGTAACAAGCATTTCAATTATAATTGGTACCTATACGTTTATAAAAACAACAATTCACACTACTATATGTCAGTAAATGTATTTAGTTTTTTACCTGGGATGGCCCTTTATGTATGAACCTTTGTCGTCTTCACTTCTAGCATTTATATCTGGATAATCAAAATCGATTTGACTATGAGACATYACGTCTGATGATGCACTATAAAATTTTTAYAAAAAAATAGTGATTAATTTCGATAAACAAAAAATTTACTTATTAATTAAACATTAATTGGCATAAAGGTATAAACAATAAAATTGTGGGGTGGTGTCTAGATTCAGTCCCGAATGTGCCCTAAATGTCAGCATCAGTCGGTGCCATTAGTTCTCAGATGGGTGGCCACCCGGGTTTTTAATGATAAATCACATACATGTATTCTAAAATCAACCATTTTCTCCTCTACAATATCTGATGACCATAAAAGTTGCCGGGCTCAAAATCAATAAAAAATTAAAATAACAATAAAAATACCCGTTATAGTTTCTCGTTTCACCCCTTTGACTGACTGACTCCAAATTATCGTCATCGACAGACTTGGCGATATCATCATCATCATCGTCGTCGTCATCGTCATCGTTCTCATCTTCACTATCTGTGTCTTTTTCGGTTTCTTGTATACGCTCCATTGACATGTATCGCTCGTTGAGCTTGCTATGCGATAGGCCCAATGAGTCTAATTTTTTCGGAGTAATCGCGGTTTGCGGTACCTGCAGTAAATGTATTGCAATATATACAATGTTACGCATGCTTCTTACGTCTTATTTACTTCTGTTATGATGATGAATTGGTTTCATTACTTACCGGTGTTATTAAATTGTCGAGACTTCTGGATCGACTAGTCTTCTCGAAGTATCTGTCATTTAAAGCAGATTGCCGTGAAAGACCGTTCTCTGCGCTATGATCTCGAGACACCGACCTCACTTTTTGCTAAAAAATGTAAATRAGAATCAAACCAAAGAAACAGATTGTCTAACAATATATATTCTTTATGATTCCGCATAACGAATGAAATACGTGTATCATACTCCTTTAACTATAATAATATTACTATAAGCATTATTTGTAAATCTCTTAGTCGCTGTCTATCAATAATTTAACATCTGTATCACGAATAAAACGTAAGCGTATTATACACTCAACGCCTTGAGATACCGATGTTTAAGAATAATTATTAAATTCATTACATAATGACATTTAAGTATTATTAGACGTTTCTTTGGAACATCATTCATCTATTCATATAATACTTGTACACATYTAATGTATAGATGGCCAACGAAAAACTAGTACAAAAAATATTTTAAAATTTACGCATTTCTAGGACGGGCGTAATTAACCGTAATTAGACAACTTTTTTATTCAGTGCGTTTAGAGCGAATTGTATAACATCGTCTCTCGCCTTATAAAAGCWATAATATTATGTTTTATAATAAACGGTATTATCAAATAATATAATAACATTGAGCAATATCGAACCATTTTTACATCACATCATGTTAAACTACGATTAAATGTAGTAACACAAACTTTTTGACTCACCGGTTTCRCYATTGGCGGTTGGGGTGGCGGCACGGTTGGTCTGCGGTTCACGGACACGGGTTCCACCTGTTGGCATCGGAAAAACGATTATAGAACGCGTGCGAGAATTAGTGCGTGCGCGTGTACTGTACATTATTAATTTTTTAACGGTGTTTAAAATAATAAAATGAGTATAGAAAGAAAATTGGTATTGCATGCGAGGACCCKATGGGAATAAAACAATTTTGAGTAACACGGTAAACGATGTTGATGCGGATAGATATATTATAAACGGAACAGAAAGTTTATTCAAAAGCTGTTATCTTAAAAAATAATTAGGTWATCACGTAGACAACACGTGCGTGCATTTAAGCGGAAGGTATGAGAAACGCAACGATTGTACACGATACCTTCGAAACAGGCGYCATCGGCGACGACGGTTGTGGTGAGTGGGGCGGCTGTCTGCCCACCGGATATCCAGGCGGCGTTTCCACTTCAGATATGGAGTCGAACACGTAATCGAACCCGTTTCTCTGGTCGTTGTCTAGCGCCACAGTCCATCCGTTGCACTCGGCGATTCCCCTCTCAGCCAGAAGGGCGGAAGCTACCGTGTGACACCGCGTCCATGATTCGACACCGGCGGTCATCGTCTCGCCGTCGGGCATTGCGAATTCCAGTGCCGTGTTGAATCGCTTCCGGTTAGCCCGCCATTCCAGAAGACATGGAGCCGAAGATCGGGCCGGCGGTGTGCAAGTATGCCCTGAMAGCAGCTTTCTCTGGCACACGCTTTTGTAGCCATCGTAACCGTGATCAGAAACGTACCTGTAARGAGATGAAAAAAAAATAATGCTTTTTTATCACAAAACACTTTTCCAACAGATCGCAATGATGTATATAGGTATAATGAATTGAAATTTTAAACGCGTTTCGAACGATTTTTGTATGACGGATTACGATTTCGTAATAGTATTTTTCTATTATTATTATTCGTATGGTGTGTGTTTMATTTACTTTAACAAGTATTTGTACAGTGGTCCAGTTGGAGGGAACGCCGACAAACAGCTGGCCATCAGTAGCCAGCATCTTTCATTATTTGCTTCGACGTCGTTGCGCCACGTTTGATTCACCAATTGACATAAAATTTCATCCCTCAGTCGTTCGTTGGCCAAACCCTAAGCAAAAATGCGGACATTGATTATAAATTTAATTTTTTTTTTTTTATTAAAACTATACGTATATTGAGACAAATATCTAAGATATCTACCGTCATACGTTAATGATAATGACAAACGAGGATATTAACAAAATTGGAAAAACATGGACATGGTAGTGGACATGTATTCCGGTAGATAGTTCTGTACTCGGGTACTACCAAACTATTAGTTCTCGTTTTTCGGATGAGTGATCAACATTTGAAAACTGAGAATTTAAGCAGCATTTTAGCATACAAGGGTATGTTCCATAAGACATTTTCTAGTTTTTAACAATAATCTTCAAAATAAACATAAGTTAATTCTGAAATCAACCAACAGCTAATAGTAATAAACTAATAAATTAATAACAATAACGTGAAAACCTGGTTCGGATAAAATTATAAAAACTATATTTTTATGTTCCAGTTAAATGGGCAGTAATAAGACCAGTGATGTAACCATCAGTTAATTTCGAAAATATACACAGTATTTTGTTTATACATAACAWTTAAATTCTTACCAAGAATTACGTGTTTTCTGTGGTTTTGTACATGTTTTTTTTWAAATTATTATCCAGTTTGGATTTTTTAACGTTTTTTCACGTTTTATTTGATATAATAAAAATAAACAATCCTGCATTTATAGGCAGGTAATAAATTTAACTTAAAAGCTGCTATTATGAGTTTGAAAATGCTATGAACATTTAWTAATACGTTAATGTGCTACTAATACAGTAATACCTACAAGACTACAACAATAGGTTCTTATTAAATAAATAGCTATTAACGCTGTTCGCATCACTTGATGTGGTAATAACATTATAATTAGTTTTTAAGAGGACGTCACACTCGCATGTGTTGTCTCCTTCGTACAAGTGTGTAGCATAGCAAATTTTATACTCCGCAAATCACGTTTATCTCCGTTAGTTTAACAATTTGGAGGGAATTGACTTAATATAAAAAATAAAGGCAAGATTATTATCTATGGCATCTATCATTAGCTTTTTATTATATTTTAATTTTAAAGCGAGTTTTGAGTATTTTTAGATATACAAACAATTTACAATTTGAAAATATCCATATAACTCGTTTTAAAATTTAAATATAATAAAAAGCCCATGAGATGCCCTAAATAATTATCTTTAATTTTTATGATAAGTCAATTCACTCTAAATTTTAAACTAACGGAGATAAAAGTGATCTGCTGAGCGTAAAATTTTCTATGCTACGCACTTGTACTACGAAAACTACACATGTGGATGTCGCTTCCTCTTAAATGTACAGCATAAATAATGGGACAATGTCCGGTAGGTATAATGTTACGAATCATATTATGGGTTATAATGTTTTTACATCAATAAAAAACTGGTTAAACGTGTACGTTTATAAATATTATCATCTCTATTCTTTATCCGTTTTACGTTTTACACATAATAAAACAAATGTTTATTAAATAAACAAAATTAATGTACTTTGTGAATGATGTAGTCTGCAAGCGCCTGTTCTCTTTTGGGGGATAATGTCACGTCGTTCATGAATCTTAGTATTAATTTGAAAATCGCAATAGAATCCATGTAATCAGAATCTTTGCTTTTGTGGAGAAATGGAGTTTTTATGGGTTCCTTTTTCATTCCCCAAACATGTGACTGAAACATCAATTAATATATTTTAAATACGGTTCTCTGTCAACATAATATTAAATGATATGTATATTACTTTGAAATAAATATTTGTGAACTTCGAAAATGCATGTTGATCAATATCATTTGGTAGAGCGTATTGTTCTTGAATTTCAACGATTGGACCGACAACTTTAACCAACTGTCTTTTATTGTGTAGTGGCTGCCATTCTATAACCCAAAAATATTAGTAAACATTTTCAAGTGCTTATTATAAATCTTATTGTTAGAAGATTATATTTATTTACAATAGGACAAATAATTATCAGCAAATCATTTTATTTCTAAAACAATAAAGACCATTCATATAAAAGGAATTTATCTGAGGTCAAGCCAAAGGAAATTAATGTCGCCTACCATTATTTTAGATAAGATAAAACTAGTCGCAATACTATTTTACAGCAGGATAGAGAGGGTATAGTGAAGGTGGTGTAAGAGAAACTATTTTATTGTATGTGTATGGTGGTATAAATTGCGGTCCAAATTTACCTTTTTACAAACTTTGCACACAGACTCTATAAAGTATTTTTAAATTAATTAAAATGGATTTAAGAAGAAAAATACTAGCATACACGTATTGAGAGAGGGAGAGAAAAAAACCACTCAGCTCAAAATGATAATTTATATTTCAAAGAAGTTGTATGATTATTATTCTAAGAGCGTATAAATGTTAAAAAAATATTAATATACATTAAATAATGATTAGATTGCAATGGATAAAAATTTAATTTTTTTATTCCGTTTTAATTTTTTAATGAATATGTACAACACAAATGGATGYTAATAGTTACAAATGTATGTTTTATCCACTAATAAGTATTACGATAAAATATTAATAATATATCATCTGAAGATAAATTAAAACTTAGAAAAGACTTGTTTTAAATATAAATTATAAACACTTTAAACCAATATTTTTATTGTAGTAGCTATTTAGTGATTTATTTATTCTGGGAAATTTAAGTCTAAATTAGATATTATATTATAGATCACAAAAACAAAAGAAGAAGAGAACAAAAAATGACTTATGAAATAAATAAACAAATTACCTAGATGAATAATAATATAATATACTTAAATTTAAATAATTATCGGGTTTGAAAATGCAGATTTTGGTTGAAAACTGTTTACCTTCGATTTTATTAAATATTGTGGCCAATTCCGCTGGAATATCTAACGCATTGAGACTTGATACAGCCTGTGGCCGAGCATTTCTTTCTTGTTCTTCCTTCTGGGCTTTGACTCTCGCCCTCTCTTTAGCCAAGTTAGCTTTTCGTTTCAGGTCCTCCTGTCCAATTAAACACAATCTTTGTTTAGCATAATTTATACCAACAGTTTATTAACTGTATTTGTACATGCCTTCAGTTGGTTGTATCGTTTTCGCTGCTGTATACCTCTAAAAGTGGCTTGTGCTTTAACCACACCTCGTTTTAAAGTCTCGTATCTCCTCCTCTGTATCCATCCACGCACTGTCGATTGCAACTTGATAGCACTCTGCTTTTTTGCGGTGTACCTGGTCCGGACGAGGAACCCTCGGACGTTCCGCTGGAGTGTGATAGCCGCCGTGTTCAAAATGGCAGCTCTTTCCCGTTCTAATTGCCGTTCTAAGCTTTCCCGTAGAAATACCCGACTCGTGCCTAACTGATATTCGTCGGAGTGTTTTTCCAATATTGTTTGACAGATTTCTCTAAGGAGTGTCCAAGGCAAGAAAATTTTTGATTTAATATTATGATTATACTGATAAGTTTTTTTTTACAGTCAATTAAATACTTATTTTAAATTAATAATTTTATGATTTTTATATACCTGTTTGGCGTGCCTTTCGGTGGCAGTTTTCGTTTTCGCACCAAAACGCGATATCTGTCCACGAATTCACTGAACTTCATGCGCACTGGATACCCCAGTTTACGGATCCGGATCGTTTCCAACATACCTGAATATCGTAGTTGTTCCAATACCGTGGGCATATCAAATTTCATCGATACCTTCTCACAGTTWGGTTTGATGCAACGCACAAACCACGGATGGCACCTAAACCACGGAATGGCAGTGTTTAGGACATAAATAGAAATTCAAATAAAAAACTTACCCAGATATGGACTCCAATAGCTGTTGTAATGAATCATGAAACCTGGCCGCCACAGTCGGTGTTCTTGGCTTCATGGTAACGAACCTGCCGTTGGCCTTGTTTAACGTTTTTGAAGCTTCAAAATTATTCCGTAAGGAGCTAAACATTTTACTCAGCATCTATAAACAACAGTGTGGACAGACATTATAAGACAACTTAAAGTCTATCACTGTACGGTTAACACGAATACTCACGGGCAAAGAACTCGATATCAATAGTTGCACGACATCGGGCCTTAACGTGTCGCGATTCTTGTCTAGAAACCCGTCGACGTTGTACCACACTGGTCCAGCATAATGCCGAACACCAAATTCTGGACCATTTAATCTAGGCCTAGAGTATAATTCGTTCAATGCGTGGTTATAATGGCACTTTTCTAAAAACGATACATCGGTAGCACGTGGGAAATTAGACTCGTCGTCTAGAAGGTGTAATATTCCGACAGGCTTTTTCGATAGCAACTGAATTACTGGCAAATTGTCCTAAAAATAGATGATCAATTAAATATAAGATTTAAAAAAAATAATTATAATAATAATGTGTAACAGTTTATGTATTTTGTTTACATTGTATGCAATGTTTTGCCATTGGATTTTTTCTTTGGCGTACTCCTGTTGCTCTAATTTGAATATGTGTTTATTGAAGTACACTTGTAAATTTTCGTTGGCATAGTTAATACATAATTGTTCGAAACTGTTTTCCTGAAATCAAACAACATTTTAATAAGTTAATCTTGTTCGGAAAATACGTTAATTTGATGTTACCTTGAAATCTTCAAAACCAAATATATCTAAAATCGATATGGCTGTTGTCTTTTTAGTTCCCTTGTACACAATATGATTAATCCTTGCCACGAGCCACGTAAATAATGAGCTGTATAAGGCTTTGGCAAATGCATCTCTAGCGTCCAATGCTTGATCAATATTTAGTGCTGTCAACAAACGTTCATTTCGAGCTTCCTGCGTAAAACATAAAATAAATAATAAACACAATTGATCGATGAAAATTAATAATAATAATATCGATAATAATTGAACACATACAGTGGTTTTGGTCGTTAATGCTTCTTTGATACCATCCACATCCAATCGGAGTAAATGCCCTGTCCATCTGATTTCTGCATCAGAACCAATTTCAACGCCTTCTTGTCCATGTTTTAGTTGTTTACGATGAAAATAAACATTTCCCAGGTGTAGAACTATACAACAAATTTCAATAAATATTAATTTCATCAATGATTAATGTGCAAATATTGATACGAGTGTGCATATTCTGAATATATGTAGGTATATGCATTATTCAATATGTGTAACGTCTGCGTGACTTGTTTTTTGGATTGAGTACCTACCCCAAATAATTGATTTTATTATAATTTAACACGGATCCTATACATTTTAAATTCTGGGCAGAAAGAGGAAGCTACCTACTACAGATTTTATAAGGCGCGTGCTATTTGTATCTGTATGCTTTTAGAAACACTGCTTTGGGGTCAAAAAAAAACCTCAATGTTTTACACAGCACTTCTACATAAAAAAAAACCAAAAGTAAGGGTTTATTTTTTTTTTAAGTTATTGAGCCGATTACTTAACTTCTGTATTTGTATATTTTTAGGATATTTATATATATAAAAAAAACAATCAACAAGCAATAGAACTGAATACAAACATCATATAATATTTAAAAATATATAAAAGTACTACTGTATTATTTGATATTTTACCTGAAGCCAGTATTCGAAAAATTGTGTCTTGTTCTTCCGATGTGAATCCAAGGACTTGCATAGCAGACATGAGTGATTGAAAATCTTCTCCATCGTATTTTCCGTCAATTTCACAATTTCCGCCTTGATTTAAATAAAAATATTTGTCAGCCGATAACAAACCATATTTAAGTTTCTCCTCGTCAGCGAGACCCGCCAATAGTTCGTAAAACACATGATAATTTCGTTCTTCTGGAGCTTGTGTTACTATTCGTGATTTTTCTAGTAAATATTCTGTAACTTTGGCGCCCAATATCACTCCTCTGAAATTTCAATATTTTTTATTAATTAAACAATAATAGTTGAGCTTAATTTYTATAAAATTTAATATTTAAATGATCTATGATTGCGTACAAATTCGTATGTTACATTGCTAAATTTATAAACATTTGCGAGTAGAATATTGTATATCACTGMTATAAGTATGAATACTAGGTATAAATGAATCACAATCCTGTGCAAARTTGAGGAACTTGATATTGAAATATTCATAAAAACAGAATTAATTAATATTATTGCTTAGTATTTTTTATTTGACATTTTATTATAGAAAATCAAAAACAAATAATTTCATCAGAACGTGGTGAAGACTTAATTATTGCCAACACAAAGAAATATCGATTTAGACGTCAACGGAAAGATGCGTTAWATCATATATCTATATAAATTACTGTTTGATATAACACACAAATAAAATTACCTAACTATAGTTACTACTGCTGATTTTATAATTCAAATAAAGGTCATTTCAAACGGACTTTCCTCCACCGATACAACAACTTGAAAACTTTCCATACATTTTGTCCAATGTTGTATCATTTTTTTGAAACAAAAAAAAATATCGTTTATTTGATAGGCCGACCGTAAGCGTGTTTCACACAATATTTAAAGTAACGCAATAATTGGTATTATAATTATTAATGTATTTAAAACTATTACTTACTGTTTGAAATGGACTTCTAAAAACTTTCCAAACCGGGACGAATTGTCATTACGTACCGTTTTGGCGTTACCAAAACTTTCCAGTAATGGAGACGCTTCTAAAATTTGTTCGGTGATGAGATTGGATGGCGATTTATTAACAGCTGCTAAATACTGCATAATAAGTTTGGTGGATTCTGTTTTACCAGAACCAGATTCGCCAGATATTACGACGACTTGATTTCCTCTAGGAAGCATTCCGTAAGCAGCGGAACCAACTGCAAATAAATGACTGAAAGAAAAACCGATTTAATGCATATTTTATTCATTATAATYAGAATCATTTTTTATTTCTAAAGAAATAATTCACATCAATTATGAGTGCACTCACGGTGGTAATGTTCCTAAAATTTGACCCTCATATTTTTTCACCATGTCTAACCCATACATATCGTACATTTTGTAAGGGTTCACTGCTACTAATATGCTTCCAGTATACGTCTAAAAAACAACGATAATTTAATATAATATACCTCAGATTCATCGTTACAAAAAAATGTTGTAAATTTTTTTTTTTTTGACAAACGTACGCTGCTCAAGAACGCTGTAATGAGTTTAGATATACTTACATATATAAGTTCTTTGTCATACCGAATTTTCAAATTCCATAATAACGAAGCTTCGTTCAAGTCCCTAAAAACACATTTACACATAAAAATTCAAGTCAATTTATTTTGTTATATTTAAAAACAYTGCTTACGTAAGTTGTATCATATCTTCAATACCATTTTGACCAAGATCTTGTCGCCGGTTAACACCGTTAGCACTTGTAAGTGAGAAAATTTGTGTCTGTTGAGTTTTAAAACATTATATAATACTACCTCAACCAAAAATATTTAAGTAAGGACTTACTTTCCCGGCAATAACAGCCTGCACAGTGAGTACTTGCGCAGGCTTGTGGTACTCCAAAACTTCTCCTGGTAAGACATGCCCAACACCTGGGTCAAACCACACAAGCTCACCCTAAAACAAAATAATAAAATATTATGTAACAAGAACTTTTTTTCTCCGTTTATGACAACATATTATATACGCGCGTATGTTCTGTGTGATTATTATTATTACCATCAATTTTAGTAATGGCATCTATACCATAGATAGATTTTTATCTACCATTACTTATACATTTAAATATAACATGTGGCATATTGCATTTTGAAATAATAGGTCATCTCTATTTATTTGATTTATAAATGCAATAAAACACATTCATAACATAAAATTAAACATTTAATACATTCGTTGTCGAGGCCAATACGAAATTATTTTTATTTTTTTAAGTTTCATCACATAATATGTACTTAAATTCGCATGCATACTGTGTAAAATAATGTCAACAATAAAATAGTATTTTTCAGTTTAGATAAAATATAAAAATAAATAACCCATAATTATTGCACTGAAGTTTTTAATACAATTATTGTTAGGACTGTTTATAATGTAAATGGATAAAAATTCGGAATACCCGATGCCAATATATCCTATAATGTTTATATAAATGAAATATTATTTACTTTATAGTATAAATCGATTACAAGTAATACAATCATTAAAACGGCTGCAATAAATATCAAAACAAATTGAGCCATATAATGTAATAACAGATGGACTTAGACCCAAGACAAATAATAATTCTAAATAAATAATGGTTGTATCAACGATTTCATTCCGGATATACGAGACAGTAGCTGGGAACAACAAACTCCAGGCAAAAAAAAATACAATAATAATAATAATAAKAAGAAATATTGTGGAAGTTATACAAACATGCTCAGGAATTATGGGATGTATAATTTTTACTGTTATTAGGTGAATGCGTAAAATGTCTTCGGCAATAAAAATGTTTAAAAACAATTATGAATTATAATTATCAATTATAAATGACAAGTAGCTTGGAAATTTCCAAAAAGGATGCCAATAAAAGATGTTAATTTTTTGCACTACCTATTGTAAGACATTTTCCACCATACAGCAGATAGTGTTTAGTGTTTGTATTCCTTCAGTTGTAGGTAGGTACCAGGTACCTGTATAACAGCTTCTACTTTCTAAAACAATATTAGGAAAGTGGAAACTATAAAGTATGAATACACTCGTCACAATTCCAATAACATTTTTCATGGAAGCACATATTGATTTAACTTAATATGAACTATCGTTGAATGTTTTCTATTAATTATTTTGTACATCGATTGAATATTGTAAACAAGTCCATTATAATATTCAATCGAACAAAATACGAGTAAGCAAATATTATAAATGTGAACGCATGGTTAAGTTGTGAATTTTATATTAAAATATATAAAATGAAACACTTAAGTCAATTCATTTTTAATTTCGAAGTCGATGTTTCAGTTTCTATTTAATTGAATAAGATATCTACAAATGGAATATGTTATACAAACAACTAAAAATGTGTGACCCAATAAATTAAAAATTGACTGCAGACTTGTATTTCYTAACGACTCGGCTCTCTGTAGAAAATAAACGCTCTGTCTTGTTAAAGTACATAATGATCAGTGTGTRTATTTTTATTTGTATAAATTATTAATAAATTAGGTTATAATGAGTTTAATTACTCATCGCATTCTCGAAATGTCTATGAATAACGACTTGATGTAAATAATAACATGTTATGATAGCATTATAGCAATACATGTTATATTCGTATATTGTATATTCATTGCTCATTATGCTATACGTATACTAATGAAAGTATACAAAATCTACGYAATAAAATATTTGAAGCGTTTAATATTTCTTTAGAAACGGCCTAATTAATATTTTGTTTTATATAAAAYATAAAAATAGAAAGATTTAAAACTAATACAATAAATACGAGAAATAAGAATATTGTTAATATTACACGTTTTATCGTAAAATTGTAGACAACAATTTTATATTTCTATGAAATATTAAAATAGTCAACAAAAGTAATCAAAGGAAAATGTTCAACAAAAGATACTTATTACCTAGTTAATGCTTTTATGTGTAGACATTAAATATATATGTTGCACATAAACTTTTCATTTCTTTAAGATATACAATATATAGGTGTCTTACGAGAAGTATGAAAATTTAAAGAGGCGGAACAATGTTAATTTTATTAGCCTRTCATTTTTAAATCAGGAAACTCTGGAGAGACATTTCGTATAAAGAATCACAACGAAAATTAAATTTGRTTTTTAAATTACTTAAGAAAAGACTTTAAATAGGTATTTGTTGTTAAGTAATGTGACTAATGTTAAGTGCTCTACCCTTACTGTGTAAGTGATGAAAAATATTAAYTTTGTTCTCATTTTTCAGTTGTTAACAATTAAAATGTATATTGAAAATWAATCACATCATAGGGTTGTAAATTATCGGGAGCATAACTAGCGGTTAATTCTAGGRATTGCTCGGGAATCGTCAAAAATATCGAAACATTTGTGAAAAGCCATTACCATTGATTAATTATTAGGTAGGCATATTAAAATGAAGGCCTATTTCAATTAAATATTCAAATGTTTTTTTATGAATAAGATATATATATATATAGTTAAGCTATAGTTGGAAAACAAATTTAATTTTAATCTATGAAAAATAAATTTATTAAAATTAGCAACCGCCTCCCTATACATAAGTTAACGACTTCCTATACCACGCACTTTAGTAATGACGGTGTTTTGTTTGTGTTAAATTTTAATTTAATAATAAATCATTGCATACGAAAAACAATTCTTCACGTAAATGCGCGGTCTGTTAGTCTACCTATGACTTTATTTTATGAAAGTTAGATATACATTATAAGTCTTATMAATTCTTCGAATGCGCATCAAAAAGCATTATTGTAGGTTTGAGTTCAACGTTATTCTAATAACAACATTAATAACTTTTAAGGGACATTGTATTATATTTTTAAGCTTTTGGTCAATCGAAAATGTTAGCTTAAAAGATTTACTTTTTGATAACCAAGGTTACCCAACACTATAATTTTAATTACACTACAACTTCAAAAATTTTAATTTTTAAGAATTGTATTTTGTTTATCCAAATATTTTAAAAAGTTGATGATTAGAGTAATTTTTCTACCAGAAAAAGTATATATTTGGAGACAATTTTCAGACATTTTTATTCTATTAATATTACAGCAAACATCCGTATGATTTAACTTATCTTAACCTATACAAAAAAAAATAACTTTTACAATGGAATATCAATTTTTTTTTCTTCAAATTGATCAAAATTTAAAATAAGTATAACTATTCAAAATGAATCGCTATTTAACCTTAATATATATCCTAATTCTTATATTACGTTTTGATATAATKAAGTGCAAATGTCGATTTGTATACAAATGACCCATTTATAGAAGTCATGCACTGCAGTCGAAGGTACATGAATATATTTAGTTTGAAACATGTATTTCATCAAAAAAATATGTTTTTAAATGTTTTCATAAAATATTCCAGTTTTAAATTTAGTTTTCGGAAGTTATAATTCATTTAAACCGAGACTAATTAAATAGTAAATTATTTGTTTATTTGTTGAATATTTATACGTCCGACCGAGCGCAATGTTTAATTTACAAACTCATCATGAATTAAATTGTGTAAATATCATAAGAAGGAAAGATAAATTGGCTTATTTATTTATATCCTCGAGAGAAATTCATAGTTTCTTGTTTGCGTATGCGAATCATAGGAATATTAGGAATTAATTTTTATTTTAAGCCTATTATGACATTTGATCAAAAGAACATTATTAGCTTATTAAAATTTAATT